GTCCTTAGGAGTATTTCTGTCTGCTGTACTCTACAATCATCCAGGAACTGAAGGTTTTATAATGTAAGATGACTCCCTAGCCCTAGTTGATGAATGGCTACAATTTTCCATTGGACATCCTGAATCATCTAGCTTGCCACGGCAAGGAAGCTCTCTAACTCTGAGTTGAAGCTATAATTCTAAAATGTAAGACTCCACTGTGGAAGAATCCTTGTTCATAAATCCTTGACATCTGAGCACTGTTGAGGAAAAAAACCACAACTAATATTATTTATCTATAGAAAAGAGGATCCTGAGTGAACTTAGTCATTTTAATGCTGAGCACAAAAACCTAATTGAGGTTCAAAAGAAGATATACAACAGGACAGAGCAGAACCCAGCAATGTGTAGTACCACAGATCTGCAATGTAAAAACATTATCAAGCATAGACAACACTAAACAGGTCAAGAGATATTGATCTACATTAATAACAAGGGAGTAGTTTTATGGAGCTCTAAAATCCAGGTAAAGAAATTCCTACTCTCCTTCTTCCCCAGAATTGGGAATGTGGATGAAAGAGGCTGAAATAAAGGGATCACTCTGAAAAAATAATTAAAGTTTACGTATAAAACACTACAAAACTGTAGCATTAGCAGAACAAAATACAAAAAAACATTGTTCTTCCTAACTGAAACTTGTTTTGGAGATTGCAGTGGGACTTATAGTTGTAACTTAGTGACAGTAACCAGAATAATATCTGACAGAGAAAAAGAACAATGGCAGTACTTTGTGAGATGAAAATAAAGATGAGGACTACGGTGACATGCAAATGTGTAATCAAGATAACCTTGTGAGAGGAGGGAGGTATGGTATAGTTAGGTCACTGGACTACCTCATTGAAGATCTGAGTTTTTTTGCTGGAGCACAACAGGCTAAATCTTCTATACCCTGACAATTGCTGAAGTCCATGGTCCATGTTCTGTGACTGTGACCAATGCAGGACAAGTACCAAAATCTCTCAGTGCTTCAGTTCCTAGCTCTACAGTAAAAAATGCTGCTTTTCTATAAGCTGCAGGTGCACCTGTGACCATGTGTGTGTTTCTGGGATACATGTTCACATTTGTTATTGGTTAGACCTGAAAACAGGAATACAGCAGTCATATCCCTAAACCTGGTCAGATGTCCTCAGTTCCTGTGGCAGTGGGCTGGACTCCAGCAGCCAGGCAGGATGTTCTGGGCCAGAGTAGTTGGAGATATTTCCTATGAAATACAAATCCCCATGTAAACTACATGAGAAATCCTGAGCCCACTAAAATCAGTGACAGAGATCCTATCACATGGCTTGAACCAGGATTTTACCACTCATGTATTTTCCATTAATTTAAAAAGCTAGAAATCCACACAGAATTAATAGAGAATAAAACAATCCAGATTTAAGTGGATATGAGTTATTTTTTACCAAGTAGGACAGTGGTCTTTTTTGACTACTAGTCAGCTGGTCAACTGTTTATTGATTCACAAACTAAATGCCAACTTCAGCTTGGTAAGTATTGAATGCCCCAAGATCCTGGCAAGCAAGTCACACTTGGCAGATTTTCAATCTGCCAAATCAGGCAAGTGAGAAAATAAACACTAAGCCTACTTTTTCCCAAGTACTAACTAGATTTTTTAGGAAGTGTAAAGTGTTATTATCAATTATAAGCCTTAATCTAGCATGTTCAAAATACAGTTGCAACTAGAGCTATGTGGTTGGACTGCCAAATACTCATTCAGTTTCCATTTGAGGGCAGTGAGAAAATCTTTTTTTCCTAAGTGTCAATAAATTTGTGGCCAACTCTATAAATAAGCACCAAATGGATTTTGTGGGATGGTTCGATTTCCATTAGGTTCCATCTTCAAATATTAGTGATGTCTGATTTCCTTATTTTTAATTTCAACAAATGGCAGCTGCTATGAAATGTAGGCTTGTGTAAGTGCTGGACTTTAAATGAAAAATTAACTGCAGATGAAACCCTAACAGCAGCTTTCTGCTTTTAGGTAACATTCAAAGCTGCATTCCAGCAAGCATCATTTTAGCTGCACTGCTGTAACAGGGACTAAAACTGTCATTCAGGTTTCCTGAAAATAGCAATACAAGGAATTTTAAATAATAGCTTGACTCTTTATCTTCAGAAAATTTGCCAGGATGTAATTGGATTAACTTAGAAAAAGCCTAAGCATTATTTCTGTCTTTTGGAAACATGTAGGATTGAAAAACAGACTAATTATTCTCAAAATGGATCTGTGCAATTTCTGCTGCAACCTGTAAATCACAATTAATGAATGTTTAAGGAAAAAAGAGCATTGGAAATCTACATGGAAGGCACACTAAAGTGAAGATCTTTAACATGGTCTTCATTAACTGCATTAAAATATAATTATATGAAATAGAGAAAAGGTATTTCCATCACTTTTAATCATGTGTCTTTAAAGATGACATGCAGTATTCAATTTAACTTATTACAAAAAAAACCAGTATGTGCAATATATATTTCTCAATATATACTGATTTACCCGTAAAAGTTTAAAATATGGATTCTGAAATCTGTTAAACTACAATGGCTCTGCTTCAGTGAAGTACTTTAACGGCTTAACTACCATAACTACAGAAGATCCCTGCATGCATTACTGTCAAGCTAATTTATTTGAATATTTCCTATTAGGTAAATCCAGAACAAATAGTTAGCACCTTCAAGACCCAGGCACAGTATTTTCACATCTCCCTTGGATCACCATTTGTGTAAAAGTGTGGGTTTACGCTGAAAGCGGCTACGTAAAAATCTGAATAATATTTTTCCTTTGTGTTTCAGGTTGAACAATATGAATTATTTTTGACCTCTCAAGTCTGCAGATAATGCTGTGAAGAGGAACATCTGCAAATTATTCTCTTTCCTTTTTTTTTGTGTCCAACATCAACAGAATTATTTGGTACATTTCAGTGGTACTGCAGATCCAACACAAATGGCCTCAGAGTCTTCGCATCTTGAGTTCCTGAAGTGGGTAACGGTATCATATGGAAGAAATATCAGCAACATGAAGCTTCCTGATTTCTTTTTCCCACATCAGCCTCCCCTGGTTGGAAACAAAGTTTGCATATATCAAAGGATATAAAATCTGAAGAAAGTATGAAGCAATTTTGCTGATTACATATATATATGTATGTATGTACACAAATATATATGCAAGCTTGATGACAGAAGCAGTGTTATTCAGGTCATGAAGCTTAATTTTTGTTTCATTTGGGAAAAAAACCATTACTGTGTCCAAAATAATTCATTCAGAGATTGATGGTTTTTAAATGGATTAATTCATTCTATACATGTAGGGGATAAAGACCATATTGGAGAAAATTTAAATTCAGTTCAATCTTTCATACATTTACACCTTTATGACAGAACTGGATCTCAGTATTTGGGTTAAGTCTGTATTCAAACTAATTTATACCAGAAATTCTGTTATCACTCTGATTTTGTTTGTTTGTTCTCAAGAAAGGAAATGGGGAAGACATATATAATTTGAAAGTGTTTTTTCACATAACATTGTAAGATTTTGTGTACACTGGTTGTTAGGTGCATAAAACTGAATGTGAGCCCTTCATTCTTGCTATTTAGATCACTTTTTTTGTATCTATTTTCTGTGGCAAGCAGAAGGAAAAGGAGAGTGAAAAACATTTATTCCTTTTCCATGAAATTTCTCTATCTTGGAGCAAGCAAAATGCTAAAACAAAAATTAAAACCAGAAGAGCTATAAACCAGAAAAATTAGAACTGTAAAATAAAACAAAATACGATTGTCGCAGGCAAGATCTATTTCAGTACTCTAAAAGCTAAAATTAGGCAAGGTAATATAGTGGTGCTGTTAAAATGACACGTTTGCACAACAGTTCAAATTTTGAATCTCAGGAGATACATGGTATTTCTATTGCTTATGTGCACAGGGATATCTCCCAGTCAGAGAATAGAAAAACTCTGTATCGCAGACAGAATCTGACATATGCCTATTAAAGACTTGAATAATACATGCAAAATTAATATTAGAAATCCAACACTGGAAAGATAAGAAGGCTTGTCTGAGCCATATGATCTGTTAAACATTGCAGAACTTCTTATAGTAGGTTGGGATCAAGCTGCCGCAGAGCTGTTTGGAGGACAGACTTCAGAGGTCTAACTTCGAGTTATGAATCCCTATCTTATGAAATATGGTTTGGATAACAGGAATCGTAATTCTTCCTGCGGCCAGGTAAGAAATGTATAAACAAAGTATACAGTTTGGGGTTTTGTGGGTTTTTTCTTTGTTTGCTTTTATCTTATTGCCATCTCTGTTACATATATTTCTAGGTCTTAGTTTTCCTGTACAAGATGTGCATCTTTTTTTATGTGGTAAGTTCTCAGAGTAATGGAATTCTTTAATTTATTTTTTTATTTTCAGTCTTAAAATACAATCAGTGTCACATATGCAGAAACTGGATGAACACAACTGGATCAAAACATGACTCACTGCATTAATAGCATGCTTCTAGGCATTACAGCAGTATCTTGGAAATTTGAATGAATTCAATCAACCCTACCAACAGTCAAAATATATTTTCAGTCTAAACTGTGTTACTGTGATACTCCACAGTTACAGGAGTCTTAAAGACAGATTAAAAATGAGAAAATTGAAAACTGCTTTTCCATATTTTATCAACAAACCTACAGTAGTCTATATGAAAACTGTTATGCCCTACCTTGTATGTACAAAAACCAAACTCTGCCGTATTTAACTGCAACGTTCCAGATTCATGCTGGTATAGCACGAGAACAGTATTTTACTCTTTAAGGAGCCCTAGTAGGGCAGATGTTCTTATTTCAGAATAATATATTGCAGGAAAGTTATCATACTCATTGTTTTTTATACTTACAGATGATGATTTTTGTATTAGTTCTCCTCTTTTTATTAGTTCTTCCTAAGATGCAGATAATTTTCACCACAGCAGCTCTCACAGGGCTGTGCTTTACATTGGTAGCTAAAAAGGTTCTGATAACTGTTGCTGTTGTGATGGTCAAGAAAGACACAAGCAGTCTAGTTCAGAGCAGAATACAGCTGGTCTGTTGACTCCCTAGCCCCCTTGGATGAGGATGTCGACCTTGCAAACTTTCGAGTGTATCCTTGAGATAAGGAAGTCATGTACGCAGCCCTGAAGAAGGAACAGTCTTGGCATAACAAAGTGATCCATAAGGAATATTCACCCCTTCCTGCTGTAATTTCCAAACCAAAGGGATCTGCTTGTTTTATTATTACATGTCTGTATCATGTTTTTTTTAATCTCAGACAGAAATCCAAGTTGTCAGGTGAATTTTCTGTTGAACAGCAGTGTCTCTCCAACATTCCTGCTGAAGTTCCAACTTGGAAAACTTTGCTGCTGTTAATCACTGGGAAATTTGAGTGACATACCTGGAAAATACCTCCACAGCCTTATATTGTCTAGTAAATTAATTGCAAAAGCCGTGTTGTCTTCAGTGGATGGAAAATGAGCCCCTGGATTGTGCTCTAAGGGGTATCAAAGCATCCCCTGACCCCCCCTTGCCTTCACTGCTCATTAAATGGTTAAATAACCCCAATTAATGCCACTAATAATCGATCACATGAACTTATTGCCACTAATATTTGCTCTAAGAACAGGAAGAGATCACTGCAAGAAACAACAAGTAATTGTCCTTCCCTTTGTCAGAGCTCAACAAAAGTGCTGGTGATTATTTTTCAACATTATTAAACACATTATTTCATTAAAATTAAATAATCTGGGGAAACTGCAGGAAGATTAAATATGATTTAAATGCTTTCTGGCCAAACAAACATTACTCTTAACTTACTAATGCTGATTTATCATATAAACAGTGCTTTTTAAGGTTACACTTAATGTAGTCTTGAATTTATGTAATGTTATTTAATTTAAAGAAATTCTTTATGCTACAATATGTGGATAATTCTGTGTGACAAAACAGCACAGGGACCGCCACCATGTTCGGAGGGCTCGGCAGGTGCTTCGAGGAGGGATCCCTTTGCTGCCCACCACGAGGACATGAGGCAGATGATGAGGAGCTTCTCAGAGCCCTTCGGGAGGGAACCATTGCCAAGCCTGCCGGAGGGCAGGGACAGAGCAGACAAAGTGCTGGAGCGGAGAGCGCGCCCGGACTCCTGGCTGGCTCCCTAGGGGAACCACAGGGATGCAGATCTTGGGGATCCATTTTCTGCCATGGACAGGATGATGTCAAACATGAGGAACAGTATACTGGAAATGCACAGGAAACTTGATGACCTGTCCATGCACCCCGATGGACACATGTTCAGCTCCTCCTCCATGATGACTTACTCCAAAGTGGAGGATGAACCTCCAAAGGTTTTCCAAGCCTCGGCCCAGACTCGCACAGCCCCAGAAGGTGTTAAGGAGACAAGAAAAGCACTTAAGGATTCGGAAAGTGGCCTGGAACAAATGGCCATTGGTCATCACATCCAGGATCTGGCTCATGTCATCAAAAAATCCAAGAACTGCAAGACTGGGGATAAGGAGATAACCAAGAATTCATCAACCTGGATGAAAATGAGGCCCAGAGCTTTGATGAGGAGTGGCAGAAGGAGGTCGTAAAGTTCAGGCCAGAACTAGAAGCTCTTTAGAAGCTCCAAAATCCAGAAGTATCAATTACAAGGAGAATGGATCAAGAAGAGAGAAGCTACTTGGAACTGGAGGTTCCAGAGTGACCAAAAATTCCTTGTAGTCTCTCAATGTGAAAGGAACACACGCACCCCTCAACAAAAGCAGCAGGAAATAAGTGGCCTCATTCCCCTGAGATGGAGTGTCTCCAGAGCAGATAATGGTGCTCATGTTCGTACAAATACACAGGATATATGACCAATCTCTGTTTGTGTTGTGCCTTTGCTCCTCCTGAATGTTCCTCAACCTTTAGCTCCTCAGTTAAACCCTCTCCTTTCAGTGAACTAAAAACCCAGCAACTTTCTGCCTGAAAGCACTTCATGGATTATCACCAATTCTGTTTAAAAAAGAATTGATTTGCAAAGTTTTTCTGCTACAACTTTATCAAGCCTGGCAGTGCAGCTACTTTTCCCCACTCTATAAGTTGCACAGAAAATAAATTCTCTTCAGTTTGTGTGGCTGAAATGGTTTTTAGGTGATACTTAATAGGAATTGGAATACATTAGACCCAACAGACCAGCTGTGCACCCCCACAGATAACACACCAGCGCTCTGACTACAGCTGAGCAGTGCTGGCACAGCATCAGCTCTGTCTCTCCAATATTCCCCCCTCATCAGTAGGATGGGGCTGGTCCAAATCCTGGGAGTGGACATAACCAGGACAGCTGACCCAAACTGACCAAAGGGATATTCCATACAGTATGATGGCTTCTCAGGTATAAAAGCCAAGAGAAAGGAAAAAAATGGCAAGAGGAAGATGGGGGGGGAGCATTATTATTTACATTTACCTTCTGTAGCAACAACTACTTGTGCCAAAGCCCAGCTTCCAAAGAGATGGTGACATCGCTTGCTGATGGGAAGTATACAATAAATCTTTTGATTTTTTTCCTTTGCTCGCATGCACATGACCCTCATTTTTGCTTTAGTAAGCTGCCTTTATCTTGATCTGCAAGGGTTTTTTCTGATCTTATTTTCTCTCGTCCTGCCCCCCATCCTGTGGAGGAGGGAAGTGATAGAATGGCTTGGTGGGCATGTAGCATTCAGCCATGGTCAACACAACACAGTCTTAAAAATCTGTTAATATTTGACAACAACAGGATTTTTTGAATTATAAATTTTATCATATCAGCTTTTGCAAATACTACTTCCTGTTACTGAAAAGAATGAAGGCAGAAATATATTCATCTGAGGGTACTTCCTTCTCTAGTCTCTTAAATGTTTACTTTACTTTTGTTTAAATGCAATGTGAGTAACATTGGAAAGATTCACTGTGGCTGAAGTGAAATAACAATATTTTTAACCCTAAAAAGAAACTCAAAATTTCACTGTCCTAAATAACAACGAAAAGACAAGGTTAAAGAATAATAAAATGAGGTAAAAAATGAAGTCTTAAAAATCTTTTGCGAAGAAAATTCCAAAAAGAGGTGTAATCGTTTATTTATGTACCAAACCTGAATGTTGTATGAATATGTTTTTATCTAGTTGATGAAAAGTTATTGTGAAATCAAAAGAATGCCAAATTTCAGGGGTAATACCTGTGTGGTAATCATAAGGAATTTCAATATTGTATTCACAGATATTCAAAGTTTCAAGGACCACGGGAATGAAATACGAGACCAACAAAATCTTGCTGATAGTATAAAGTTCATGGGGTAGAAAGAGCTATTTGCTCAGCATTTTGTTGGAGGGTAATGTACTCAGTATATAAGAGTGCATCCCTTATTACTATGGATATATATCAGCAGTTTTTCATAGAGACTGAAGTAAGAGAATAATTAAATTGTTAATGTACACAAATACAAATGTGTATAAATATTTAATGTTCATATTAGTCAGTATAATGATGATGATATATTAATTATTGCTTTAATTTCTTTACTGACTGACTACTGTTTACTGTGAAAAGTTTAATTGTTACAGATGGTCTCTTCTGTTTAATTCTGAATTCTCTCTTCCTTTCTCTGTCTTGCAATCAAGTGTTTTCATTTATTAAATTGTATCTTACAAATAGGTTCAATCATCTCATCAAAACATATTCCCAATTTTAACTCATCACAACAAAACAGTGTGCATACATGATCAGCAGTATTCCTCACCATTTAGTATGTGAGTAGATACAGCTATCATATTCATAACAATCCACAGTCAACGGCTTTGACTATGCAAGCAATGCTAAATTAAATAATTTATATTTCAGTTTTCTGAAATACAGAGAAAAAAAGATGGAAAAACTTAATATCTGGAGGATAATAGGAGCAGATGTCTGATAGAATGCTTCTTCTATAAATAACTAAAGACACCATATGGAATGACAAATTTGGGATGTTTTTCTTTGCTTCCAGCTTATATTGTAGAATTTATGTTATTTACAGAGATGAGGTATTTGCTCTTATTTTTATTATATTCTTTCATATTACTCATTTTTCAGTGTAAATTATACTAAACTAGATAGCTCCCTGGGATATACTAGTCATCAGAAACCAGTCATCATGAAAACTCCAATGACAATGCATTGAGCTCTTTGCAGTAGAAACTGTATGCTGCTGACACTTCTCCCATGCATTTCATAGGCTTTCTCAGTCACTCTGTTAGCACAGAGAAGCTAACTTTATTGTAAAGTTTTTATTTGCTTTTTAGCTACCTTTCCTTTAAATTCAGAAGAGACTGGACTTTCTTCTGGTCTGAGAGTGGTAGAAACCAAGCTTTGTCCAGCTTCAGGAGCTAGCAGCAGCAAATACTAATGAAACACTGCTGGCCACGTTGGCCAGTGCTGCCAGTGCAAGAGGGAATTTTATTTGCACAGATAACCATTACATATTTTGTGATGGAAGACCACATTACCTGATATATATATGCAGCATAAGGGGTCGTTGTATTTACATTTTTATCTAATAGGTCATGCTGGACCGGAAATTTAGAGTTTAGGTTTACACACTTTTTTATTTGGTAATGTAAGATGAACCAAAGAGATAAATGCGCGTGTGCCTATCTCAAATAGGTGATATAGGAATGATAGACGAGCAGTATTTTCTGTTTCTGCCTGACTACAGCAGCCATGTCAAGTTCTTCTGCACTTCTCAGTTCACTGTTGTTTTGGATGAATAGAATGAACTGTCTTTAAATTATTGTAGGGTATTTATTCAAACATAATTCTTGCACACAGTGTTGTACTACATCCCAATATGCAACACAGAGTGTGGTGCAGCCACTACCCCTAGCAACGCTGGCAGGAGTCTGCTGGTATTGATGCCCAAAATCTTCAGGAGAAAAAGAATCTCCAGGCAAGTTAGATAAGATAGAGAACAGCTCTTTTAATACAGGCCTTCTGGCCACAGAGTATGAAAGTTGCACACTCACATACAGAATTCTTACATGTTTATATTATTTACTAATTATCATATCTAAAAGGCACATTCAATCCTAAGACCCCTTTTGCCCTGGTGCCATCATCAGAACTGCCCCACTAAAGTCCCTGCAACAGTATTGGGCCTTCTATCTTGTTTTGTCTACCATATCTCTTGCTATTCTAGTCGAGGTGCACATCCCAATGAAATCCAATGGAATGTTCTTGCTAAATATCTATTGCCTTGAAAAGATGATTAAAAGACGGTTAAACAGTTAAAACGAAGCTTCAGGAATGTGACACGTAAACTGTGAGAAAGTAACGCTCTAAAGTAAAAGAAAACTACAGCTACATTAAAATCCACAGAAAGCTAAAAATCTTAAAAATTCTAAGGCATTGGTTCAATGACAAAGAAGAGATTTTTGCTGGTTTTCCATGTAGTTATAGAAGTTAAGATCATCAAATAAATAGACAATTAGAAACTTTGAACCTGAAAAGTCAGAACCCAAGTGAAGATTTTTTAAGTGCAGAATGTTTAATTTTAGACTTCCACATTTAAGTTTTTAGGCTTAAGTTAGGTATCTGGGACAAGCCTAAGTCTCAGTACACTTCGGTAGATGGATCTGGATAGAACATTCAAGTTTTGCTCTTCAGAGAAGAGGAATAAGGAGTTAGTTAACTTTAGATGGCCCCTGGGAAAACCTAAAGCTTCATCAAAATTAATAAAACATAGTAAGAATCACAGCCAAAGCCAAAGTTGCATAAGAAATGAATAATGAGAGTTTCTATAAAATACTCGATAATGTGTTTGCAAACAGAAAAGATAGACTATTTTGTTCATAAATACAACATGAAAAGGATGAAGGCATACTTGTCAAAGAAATCTTCACTTAATTCACTTGGTGAAATGTTTACATATGAGCATGTGG